TCAGGATGTGGGAGCGTTGCCGGGGGGATGGGTGGTTGGGATGGAGGCTCAGGATGTGGGAGCGTTGCCGGGGGGATGGGTGGTTGGGATGGAGGCTCAGGATGTGGGAGCGTTGCCGGGGCGTGGCCTCGTCCTCCCCCCAACCCCCCGTTGGCGCAGATCCAGCCGGATCTCCGGGAGCTCATGGAGACCATGAACCGCATGAGCCACCTGCCCCCCGACTTCGAGGGCAGGCAGAAGGTCAACCAGTGGTGAGCGGGACGGGGGGGAAGGGGCGGGCAGGGGGGGTCATTCCCAGTTTTTGGGGGGTTCCTGACCCCGGCCCGGCCCTTCCCAAGGCTGCAGACGCTCAGCGGGATGTCGGCCTCGGACGAGCTGGACGATTCCCAGGTCCGGCAGATGCTCTTCGACCTGGAGTCCGCCTACAACGCCTTCAACCGCTTCCTGCACTCCTGAGACCCTCCCAGTCCAAACCAGTCCCTCCCAGGCCCTGCTGGGGCGGGAGGAAAGCCGGGACAATAAACAGGGGGCGGCGGATCCCGAAAAATCACCGGAGTCGTGGATAAATAACGGGGTGTAATAATGACCCTGCCAGGATCCCCCAGTTCAAACCAGTCCCTCCCAGTCCCTCCCAGTCCCTCCTGGTGCGGGAGGAAAGCCGGGACAATAAACGGGGGGTGGCGGATCCCAAAAATCACCGGAGCCGTGGATAAATAACGGGGGGTAATAATGACCCTGCCGGGAGCCGCCGGATCCCACCGGGATCCCCCAGTTCAAACCAGTCCCTCCCAGTCCTTCCCAGTCCCTCCCAGTCCCTACTGGTGCCGGAGGAAAGCCGGGACAATAAATGGGGGGCGGCGGATCCCGAAAAATCACAAAATCCATGGATAAATAACGGGGTGTAATAATGACCCTGCCGGGGCAGAGCGGGAGCCACTGGATCCCACAGGGATCCCCCAGTTCAAACCAGTCCCTCCCAGTCCCGACTGGTGCGGGAGGAAAGCCGGGACAATAAACGGGGGGCGGCGGATCCCGAAAAATCACAAAATCCATGGATAAATAACGGGGGGTAATAATGACCCTGCTGGGAGCCACTGGATCCCACCGGGATCCCCCAGTCCCTCCCAGTCCCTCCCAGTGCCTCCCAGTCCCTACTGAGGCGGGAGGAAAGCCGGGACAATAAACGGGGGGCGGCGGATCCCAAAAATCACAAAATCCATGGATAAATAACGGGGTGTAATAATGACTCTGCCGGGAGCCACTGGATCCCACCGGGATCCCCCAGTTCAAACCAGTCCCTCCCAGTCCCTACTGGTGTGGGAGGAAAGCCGGGACAATAAACGGGGGGCAGCGGATCCCGAAAAATCACCGGAGTCATGGATAAATAATGGGGTGTAATAATGACCCTGCTGGGAGCCACCAGATCCCACCGGGATCCCCCAGTTCAAACCAGTCCCTCCCAGTCCCTCCTGGTGCAGGAGGAAAGCCGGGACAATAAACGGGGGGCGGCGGATCCCAAAAATCACAAAATCCATGGATAAATAACGGGGTGTAATAATGACCCTGCCGGGAGCCACCGGATCCCACTGGGATCCCCCAGTTCAAACCAGTCCCTCCCAGTCCCTGCTGGTGCGGGAGGAAAGCCGGGACAATAAACGGGGGGCAGCGGATCCCGAAAAATCACCGGAGTCGTGGATAAATAATGGGGTGTAATAATGACCCTGCTGGGAGCCACTGGATCCCACAGGGATCCCCCCCAGTTCAAACCAGTCCCTCCCAGTCCAAACCAGTCCCTCCCAGTCCCTATTGGGGCGGGAGGGGCGGCGGATCCCGAAAAATCACAGAATCCATGGATAAATAACGGGGTGTAATAATGACCCTGCCGGGAGCCACCAGATCCCACCGGGAGCCCCCAGTCTCTCCCAGTCCCTCCCAGTCCCTCCCAGTCCCTACTGGGGCGGGAGGAAAGCCGGGACCATAAATGGGGGGCGGCGGATCCCAAAAATCACAAAATCCATGGATAAATAACGGGGTGTAATAATGACCCTGCTGGGAGCCACTGGATCCCACCGGGATCTCCCAGTCCCTCCCAGTCCCTCCCAGTCCCTCCCAGTCCCTGCTGGGGCGGGAGGAAAGCCGGGACAACAAACGGGGGACGGCGGATCCCGAAAAATCACAGAATCCATGGATAAATAACGGGGTGTAATAATGACTCTGCTGGGAGCCACCGGATCCCACTGGGATCCCCCAGTTCAAACCAGTCCCTCCCAGTCCCTCCCAGTCCCTCCCAGTCCCTACTCGTGCAGGAGGAAAGCCGGGACAACAAACGGGGGGCAGCAGATCCCGAAAAATCACAGAATCCATGGATAAATAACGGGGTGTAATAATGACCCTGCCGGGAGCCACCGGATCCCACCGGGATCCCCCAGTTCAAACCAGTCCCTCCCAGTCCCTCCCAGTCCCTACTGGTGTGGGAGGAAAGCCGGGACAATAAACGGGGGGCGGCGGATCCCGAAAAATCACAAAATCCATGGATAAATAACGGGGTGTAATAATGACCCTGCTGGGAGCCACCAGATCCCGCCGGGAGCCACCAGTCCCTCCCAGTCCCTCCCAGTCCCTACTGGTGCGGGAGGAAAGCCGGGACAATAAACGGGGGGCGGCGGATCCCGAAAAATCACAGAATCCATGGATAAATAATGGGGTGTAATAACGACCCTGCCGGGAGCCACCGGATCCCACTGGGATTCCACCGGGATCCCCCAGTCCCTCCCAGTCCCTCCCAGTCCCTCCTGGTGTGGGAGGAAAGCCGGGACAACAAACGGGGGGGGCGGCGGATCCCGAAAAATCACAAAATCCGTGGATAAATAACGGGGTGTAATAATGACCCTGCCGGGAGCCACTGGATCCCACAGGGATCCCCCAGTTCAAACCAGTCCCTCCCAGTCCCTCCCAGTCCCTACTGGTGCGGGAGGAAAGCCGGGACAATAAACGGGGGGCAGCGGATCCCAAAAATCACAGAATCCATGGATAAATAACGGGGTGTAATAATGATCCTGCCGGGAGCCACCGGATCCCACTGGGATCCCCCAGTCCAAACCAGTCCCTCCCAGTCCAAACCAGTCCCTCCCAGTCCCTACTGGTGCGGGAGGAAAGCCGGGAAAACAAACGGGGGGCGGCGGATCCCGAAAATCACAAAATCCATGGATAAATAATGGGGTGTAATAATGACCCTGCCGGGAGCCACCAGATCCCACTGGGATCCCCCAGTCCAAACCAGTCCCTCCCAGTCCCTCCTGGTGCAGGAGGAAAGCCGGGACAATAAACGGGGGGCGGCGGATCCCGAAAAATCACAAAATCCGTGGATAAATAACGGGGTGTAATAATGACCCTGCTGGGAGCCACCGGATCCCACAGGGATCCCCCAGTTCCTCCCAGTCCCTCCCAGTCCCTCCCAGTCCCTGCTGGTGCGGGAGGAAAGCCGGGACAATAAACGGGGGGCGGCGGATCCCGAAAAATCACAGAATCCGTGGATAAATAACGGGGTGTAATAATGACTCTGCCGGGAGCCACCGGATCCCACTGGGATCCCCCAGTTCAAACCAGTCCCTCCCAGTCCCTCCTGGTGCAGGAGGAAAGCCGGGACAATAAACGGGGGGGCGGCGGATCCCGAAAAATCACAAAATCCGTGGATAAATAACGGGGTGTAATAATGACCCAGCTGGGAGCCACCAGATCCCACAGGGATCCTCCAGTTCAAACCAGTCCCTCCCAGTCCCTCCCAGTCCCTCCCAGTCCCTACTGGTGCAGGAGGAAAGCCGGGACAATAAACAGGGGGCAGCGGATCCCGAAAAATCACAGAATCCATGGATAAATAACGGGGTGTAATTATGACCCTGCCGGGAGCCACTGGATCCCACAGGGATCCCCCAGTCCAAACCAGTCCCTCCCAGTCCCTACTGGTGTGGGAGGAAAGCCGGGACAACAAACGGGGGGCGGCGGATCCCGAAAAATCACAGAATCCATGGATAAATAATGGGGTGTAATAATGACCCTGCCAGGATCCCCCAGTCCCTCCCAGTCCCTCCCAGTCTCTCCCAGTGCCCTCAGGAGCTCTTCCAGAAGAGCCTCTGGTGGCTCCGGACGCGGCGCCCGCAGAGCCGGAGCTCCCGGATCATCCCGGTGCTCCTGGTCCACGTGGCCTCGTCCAAGGGCCCCACGGAGCATCCTGGGGAAGGAGGAGGGGGGGGTTCATTTGGGGAGGGGGGGACGGTGACCCCGTGACGGGGACACGGGGGGACAATTCCCACCTGCCAAGCTCAGGAATTCCAGCCCCCGGCCCCGCTTTTCCAGGGCCCGGAGCAGCGTCCGCAGGCCCTCGGTGCCGATCCCGGGGTTGGCCGAGAGATCCAGGGAAACCAGGGAGGGGCAGGACGGGAGGCACCTGGGGAGGGAGGGGAGGGGGAGAGGGAGAGGGTCGGGGGGGGCCCCGTTGTCACCCCCTTGTCCCCAGGGGGGTTCCCGTGTCCCCAAGGGGATCCCAATGTCCCCAAGGGGGTCCCAATGTCCCCAGGGGGGTTCCCGTCGTTCCCAGTGTCCCGTGTGGGAGCGGGGTCTCCATTGGGATGGGAAAGGGGAGGATCCTCCTGCCAGGACCCCCCCAGATGTCCCCAGGGTCCCCTTGTCCCCAAGAGGGTTTTGATTGTCCCCAGGGGGGTTCCAGTGTCCCCAAGGGGGTCCCAATATCCCCAAGTGGATTCCCCTCATTCCCAGTGTCCCGGGTGGGAGCGGGGTCTCCGTTGGGATGGGAAGGGGAAAGAAGATCCTGCCAGGACCCCTCCAGATGTCCCCAGGGTCCCCTTGTCCCCTCCCTTGGCCACCCCCTTGTCCCCAGGAGGGTTCCAATGTCCCCAAGGGGGTCCCATTGTCCCCAGGGGGGTTCCCATCATTCCCAGTGTCCCGTGTGGGAGTGGGGTCTCCATTGGGATGGGAAGGGGAAGATCCTCCTGCCAGGACCCCTCTGTCCCTCCTCTGTCACCCCCAGATGTCCCCAGGGTCCCCTTGTCCCCTCCCTTGGCCACCCCCTTGTCCCCAGTAGGGTTCCAATGTCCCCAAGAGGGTCCCAATGTCCCCAGGGGGGTTCCCGTCATTCCCAGTGTCCCGGGTGGGAGCAGGGTCTCCATTGGGATGGGAAGGAGAAGGAAGATCCTGCCAGGACCCCCCAGATGTCCCCAGGGTCCCCTTGTCCCCAGGAGGGTCCCAGTGTCCCCAAGGGGGTCCCAATATCCCCAGGGAGGTTCCCGTCATTCCCAGTGTCCCAGGTAGGAGCAGGGTCTCCGTTGGGATGGGAAAGGGGAGGATCCTCCTTCTGGGACCCCTCCAGATGTCCTCAGGGTCCCCTTGTCCCCTCCCCTGGCCACCCCCTTGTCCCCAGGGGGGTTCCAGTGTCCCCAAGGGGGTCCCATTGTCCCCAGGGGGGTTCCCGTCATTCCCAGTGTCCCGTGTGGGAGCGGGGTCTCCATTGGGATGGGAAGGGGAAGGAAGATCCTGCTGCCAGGACCCCCCAGATGTCCCCAGGGTCCCCTTGTCCCCTCCCCTGACCACCCCCTTGTCCCCAGGGGGTTCCCATGTCCCCAAGGGGGTCCCAATGTCCCCAAGGGGGTCCCATTGTCCCCAAGGAGGTTCCCGTCATTCCCAGTGTCCCGTGTGGGAACGGGGTCTCCGTTGGGATGGGAAGGGGAGGATCCTCCTGCCAGGACCCCCCAGATGTCCCCAGGGTCCCCTTGTCCCCTCCCCTGACCACCCCCTTGTCCCCAGGAGGGTCCCATTGTCCCCAAGGGGGTTCCCCTCATTCCCAGTGTCCAGTGTGGGAGCGGGGTCTCCGTTGGGATGGGAAAGGGGAGGATCCCCCTGCCAGGACCCCTCTGTCCCCCATCTGTCACCCCCAGATGTCCCCAGGGTCCCCTTGTCCCCTCCCCTGACCACCCCCTTGTCCCCAGGAGGGTCCCAATGTCCCCAAGGGGGTCCCAATGTCCC